TGATAACAGGACTAAATGTTTCCGCATAATCCAAACCATGACGTTGAGTGTTACCTTTTGCTACGAGACGAGCTTTGGGACGAAGAACAGTGCCGTCGGGGTTGTACTTCGTGGTAGATCCAATGACATCCAACTATTGTGACATGGGGTGGAGGCGGCGGAACAAGATCCCAACTATGATTCCCAATTTGCGCATTGATTTCAGACGTCACTGTTTTTCTCCATCTTTCATCATTGAGATCTTTGTTTATCCTTCTTGGTTCAGTGTTTGATGATAGTTTTGAGGCATAAAGGTACTTGGTGTTAGGTTTTCTAATGCCTGATTTGGCACGGGTAGACATCGGGTGGATATTTTGGTGGTTGTTTGGTGGTTCAGGGTCTGGTATTGATTCAATTTGATCAGAGGAGGATAACAACGAAGATGAATTCGTAGAGTGATTTTGTGTTTGGGTTTGAGTTTGTTGGGCTATATTTTGTGAAACATGGGTATTTTGTGATTGGGTTTGTTGGATAGGGGAGTATTGGTGTTGCTGGGCCGTGGGTTGCGGCCTATTTTGAATTGAAGCAGTGGGCTCAGAGGAGGGAGAAATAGAATTAGATGTAGGGTTAAGAGATGATACCTGAGTCGACGACGGAGATGACGGTTGTGTTGATGATGCCGAAGCCGGCGAACGAGCTGACGACGGGGCCGGTGAAGGATCTGACGGTGGGCTTTGTTGTGGCAACGCTACTATAACTGGTGTAGTGGTCTGGTGTGATGAGAAATCTTCGTCACTTTCTGTAAGTATAGAAGAGGAGACCGGATTCCGTGAGAAGGGAAAGTAGTTTTCGTCGAATTGCACATGACGAGAGACATACATTCGATCATCCTCCGGGTCATAACAAAAATATGCACTCTGCGTAGCAGAATTCCCAAAGAAAACACAGCATTTTGAACGATCTTGAAGCTTGTGTCTCATATATGGTTTCAGCCAAGGATAGCAGGCACATCCAAAAATGCGAAGTTTCTGATAATTTGGATGATTGCCAAAGAGCTTGTGAAACGGCGACTGCATTGCTATGGTTGGAGTGGGCATTCTGTTGATAAGATAGACTGCAACTGCAAACGCAAAAGGCCAGTACTTTTTAGGAACCGACTCTTTAGAGAGAAGAGTCATGCCCGTCTCCACTATATGGCGATGTTTATGTTCTGAGAGGTCGTTATGTTCTGGCGTATGTGGTGGTGATGTGAAGTGTGAGATACCAGTCATCTGAAAGAATTGCCGCAGCGCGATATACTCCCCTCCATTGTCGGAGTAAAAGGTACCGATCTTTTGTTGGAAATAGTTTTCGACCAGATTTTTTAAAACCATAACCGTTTGTTTCGCTTGGGACTTTTGTTTCAGTGAGAAAATCCATGTGTATCGGGTAAAGTGGTCAATGATCAAAAGATAATATTTGAAGTTTTCAGAAGAAACAATAGGAGAACTCCAAACATCGGAGAAAAGGTATTCCAATGGTCTTTTAGAAGTGATTGAAGATTGTGAAAATGGAAGTTTGTGGTTTTTATTGATAAAACAATCATTGTAGGAAAACAACTTTTGAGAAGGTAAAGAAACATGAAGCGAGAAACTAGAAACAACATTATTCAAGATAGAAGAGGATGGATGTCCCAAGCGAGAGTGCCATGAAGATAGTGTTGTCTTTGAACTCAGATATGCTATGGAAGCTTTAGCTTGAGGAGCTTTCAAAGGCCACTCATAAAGCTCATCTCCAGCTTTGCCGCAGACCAACTGAGCCCCCATTGTCAGATCCTTCACCTGAAAAGAGGTTGGGAAAAATTCCACAAAAACTCCATTAGAATTGCATAATCTATAGACTGATATAAGGTTCTTATTTATATTAGGAGCATATAGAACTTTATGTAAGTCTAAAGATCGAGTTGAAGTAGGAAGAGTTGTGAAACCAGTTTGATGAATTGGGACTGTAGATCCATCAGCAATCATAACATCATTAACAACTTGGTATGGTTGGTGCAGGGAAAGGTTAGAGAGATCAGAGGTAACATGGTGTGTTGCCCCACTAGCCAGAAGCCAATTACAAGTAGTGTACTGATTTGCAGCAGTAAAGTTTACTCTTGGGTTGTAAGGCGGAAAGGACTCTGTTGCTGATGGTGTTGTGATGCGGCTTGATAGGACTGTAGCTGGGAACATCTCTTAGCACTGTTCCCTTGCACTCCGCAAATCTGACAACGTCCGAGGTAAGGACGAGGTCCTTTTGAATCTGAGCGATTGGCTTGTTGATTAGGGTTCCACTGCTGAGGCTGTACTTGTTGAACCCACTGATTATTGTTCCTTGGTTTATACTGATTCGTGTAGTTGTTGTTATTGTTGTTTCTGGTCTGAGCAACATTAACCGTGACAGGTACTGGAGATTGAATGGTTTCGCTTGTCATGAGGAGCTTAGCTTCATGGTTGAGAAGGCGCTCATGCAGTTCAGTGATGGATGGTGGAGCATCTCTGCCTTCAACTTGGTCAATTACTGACTTGTAATCATCAAGGAGACCTTCAAGGATAAGATCAATTTGATCTTCATGATCAACTGCCTTGCCTAGAATGGCAAGTTGATCAAGTCTTGTCGTGATTCCTTGGAGGTAAACATAAACAGTCTTGTTCTCCTTCTTCCAATGTTTGAGTTGAGTTTTCAGTTGCTTGATATGATCCCGGCTTGGTTTTTCATAGGTAGATGCAAGTGTTGACCATGCTTCCAAAGACGTTGTTGCACGAGAAACAAGAGGTTGCAGGGAAGGGGAGATCGCACCAATCAGAGCGCTGTAGATCAACTTGTCTTGGCGCTTCCAAAAAGTGTAATCCGGGTTCACCGAGATCTGGTCATCATTGGTTATCGTGGCTGGAGGAGCGGCTGTAGATCCGTCAACATATCCAGCAAGGTTATAACCATCAAGTAGAGCATGGATTTGGAGGCTCCACATGAGGTAATTGCTCGCAGTAAGCTTGGAAACGTTGGACATGTTTAGCGTAAGAAGTGTTTGTGTGTTTGGATCGATGGTGTGAGTGACAATGGTAGGATAAGTGTTTGCGGAAGAGCTCATGATGATGGGTGTTTAAGAAACAGAAAATAAAATTGTTCAGAGGAGCGATCGTACTGCTCTTGATACCATGAAAGATATTATTGAATGTGTGTCTTGTGAAGTTATACAAGAGTGCCTTATATACACGGCATTGTCTTAGGGTTTACAGAGATATAGTTATTGACAAGAATATATGGTTTCCATATTCATAGAAGATCCTAAATCAATCATTGATATGCTTGATCCTTAATAGATTATTCATCTGATTCGAATCTATATGTAGGTGATTTGATTAGATGATGGACCTGGATCTCTTTGAGAAGGAGGAAGGAGAAAAGAGCCGTTATGGATCGTGTTCGCGGTTTCCGGAACTATAAATCTCAATTCATACCTGAGCATATTGTCTCACAAGAACGTGAAAGAATGTGAACATATTATAATTTGTAATTTGGAGTTTGAAGGTGGGAGAGGTCATGATGTTGATGGGATTCAGATTAATGATAATGTTTTCTTACGCAGATTCATAATGATAATTGTTTTAGCTTTTCCATTTTCTTCTAAAATTATACATATTAAATTATATTTGTTTTAATAAAAAAAAACAGAAGAACGAAACAAAACAAAATAAGAAGTAATCCGCAGCCTAATTTAAAAAAGGCATGGTTCAGTTAGAGAGAAATATATGCAAAAAATCCAAATTCTTGCAATAAATTTAGAAGTCTAACTAAGATAAAACATATTATTATTTAGAATAATTTTCAAATAACTTAAGAATAATGTACAGTTTAAAACAAAATATTCATAGCATGTATGTTTTTTTTTTTTTGTAAATATTGATATGTATGCATGAGCTTTCAAAAAATATTGGTTGTCATCAAATACAACTCTGAAACGAAAACTGAGTATCTGTTTTTAGATGCACATATAATTATACATAAGTTTATAAAATATATTATATAAGATAATAAAACAAACAAAATAAACCTTATAAAATAAACTGATTTAACCAATTTGAATCAAAAAACAAATTCGGTTCAATTTAACGGAACACAACAATCTAAAATATCCAAAACTTTTAACTAATCCAAAATTGTGCAAGCAAATAACATTATAAAATAAAATTTCTTTATTTTTCATATATATAATGATAAAACAATTAAATTTATTAGTAAATAATTAATAATCATCATGATTTTTCATTTTAAATATTTTTTTGAAGTAAAAAACAACGTTAAATACCTATTCAACTCTTTAAAACAAAAAAAAAACTATATAATTTGGCCCATATAATTTTGACCATTTAAAATATTAAAAACGAATAACACTACAATTAATTTTTATATTTATGGAATATTGTGTGATCAGTTGATTTTTTCAATTTTAAATATTGATTTTTCGTGTATGAGCAAGAAAAAATCACTTAATTATCAAACTTTAAGAAACCATCTATTGACAAGTGTAAATAGTAAAACTCAGTGTTAAGAAATTATATTTATAAATACTCCTTTAAATTAATATTATTTAGTATATAATTATTTGTTGATGGGTTTACCCTAGTGTGCTATATAATTTTGATAAATCTCTAATTATAAAACTTATTTGATAATCTATACACTGTTTTCATAAATATTAATTTCTAGTTATATTTTTAAATTAGTTATAACTTTTGATTATTGTTTATTAAATATTTATGAAATTACATAGAAATGTAGATCCACTTGTCATAACTGGAATAAAATATGGATGCATATAAATATTTTAAAAGTTAGACTCTCTTTAATGTAAAACTATCTTAATTAAGTGAAACTTTAAATACAAAGAGATCTCTTTCCTCCTAGTTAATGTATATAGGAGATTCTTGGAAGTCTCCTGATTCAATCACAATATTTTCTGTCTTTCTCTCTCTCTGATTGTTGATTTGAACACGATTATGTCCCTGCCTGAAGACATCATCATTAACATCTTAGTCCGTGTATCGAGATGCCACTATCCAACACTCTCTCTTGTTTCAAAGCACTTCCGATCCCTCATTACATCGCCTTATATATACACCATACGGTCTTTGTCGGGATGCACCGAACATCTTGTCTATGTTGTTCTCTATAACAGGGACAACAAGGATTACCGTTTGTATACTCTCTATCGGAACGCTAACGGCAAAAACAGTCGCTTGGTCCTTATCCCTTGGCTTCCCGCTGTGCCTAAACGTGGAAGCTTTGTGGCGGTGGGTTCAAAGATATATGTGTTTGGTACGATCAACAACAATGATTTCTCAGAAAAAGAAAAGAAATACAACTATGGCTATATGCCATCGACTGCATACATCATTGACTGTAGATTTCACACTGTGGAACCACTCCCGAGCATGCCGCATATTTTCATGTCTGAAACAATAGCTGGCATCATCGATGACAAAATATATGTAATTGGATATAAGTACGATAGAGAAATACGAGTGGTGGTGCCGGTGGTGTTGGTTTTCAACACAAAAACACAGATGTGGGACCCTGAGGTGACAAATCGAGACAGGCCTACAAGAATTTTGATAAGGGCGTATGGTTGTGTGGTGATGGCTAATAAGATTTGCACCAGGGAACTTGAATACGACCCAAAGGAAAATAAATGGGAAGCCCCCGACGAGAAGCTGAGGTCAGAGGAGTGGACGTATGCGTGTTTCATTGATGATGTTCTGTATGACTATGATATGGTTGAGAACAAGTTAAGAGCATATGATTCAAGAAAAAGGTGTTGGAAGACGGTGGAAGGTTTGGAAGAATTGTTGGCTTTGATAAGTGTTAAGAAGTTTTTTAAGACTCTGAGATACGGTGAGAGACTGCTTTTTTGGTTTTCTATAGAAGAAGGCGTTGGGGGAGCTGAAGATATTTGTTGTGCAGAAATTTCGTTGGAAAGACGCCAAGGAGGTCAGATTTTTGGAAAAGTTGAGTGGTTTGATCGTGATTTGATTGCTGGAAATTTTGAGATTATAAAACCTCTAGTTGTTATGCTTTGACTCAGGAACCCTTCTTCATATGTATGCTTATAAAACGTATGTAAAATTCAATACTAAATTTCTAAAGAGATATTCACTGAGCGAGCTCTTGGCTCTATTGTAACAGTTGAGTTTGTTAGAGAGATTTTATTAAGAGTTGGAACTCGTTTAGTTATTAACTGATCAACTTGGTGATTTTTCTGTGATCATGTATGCACGGATATGAATATTTATAAAATAAATATATTGTAATATATTCTAATTTATTAATTTAGATAGATAATTAATATGTATAACTTATATTAATAATATTATATTATTTTAATTAGACATACGATTTGGGAGATGTTATATTTAATCGGTTTAGTTGTTTTTTTGGTTATCGATTTGGTTACACTTGTGTATTTTGGATTGCATCTATTTTTCTGAATTCAAATATAATACTTTTCTTCTAAATATACTAAAACTTTGATTATTTTTGCATTTAGATTGGTTATCGTCTTCTATATATAAATATATTTTAGTAATATTATGTATAATTTAATATCTATTATTCTTATAATGAAATTAAAAATAAATGAAATTTTGACTCAAAATTACATAAATGAAAATAACGATAATATTTTGAAGTCTCATTCATATATATAAACTTTACAAAAAAAAAACTGAATTATAACAGTTGGTTAATAATTTATTTTTCTTTATTGATATTTTCGAGTCATCCTGTAATATATATGTATAAAAATAATTAAATAATTATTCTAAAATTATATGTTCTTGTTGTAGTTAGATTTTTTATTTTGGATATAAGTTGGATTCGTTCCGTTACTCGTTTTGTAAGTATATTGAGTTATATATATATTTTTCTAACTCAATTGAAAATATAATTATTTTTATTCTAATTAAATCAAATCAAATTATTTTTATTTATCGCTTAATGCAAGTATTTTTATAATAATTTTAATAATTGGATATATATTGATTTTTAAGAAATATTAAAAAAATAAAGTGACCATCAATAAGAATTTAATACATAAATAGATAAACTTTTGAAATTTTATGAGTGCATATTAATATTTACAATAATTAAATATTTATAAATTCTAGATTATTTTATGCTTTAGATTTCTTAAAAGGTAAACTGAAAAGTGTTTTAAATAATCTTAAAAATGAGAACTTAGATTTACTTGAGTATTTTGATTATTTATATATTAAGTTTCACAAAGATAAAAATACATAAACTAAGTATTAAAAAGAATTTTTAATAATGATAAAATATAAAATTGTACTTCATTAATAGTGTATTGCTACGCTATTTAAAAATATTTTGAAATTATTTGATCAAAATATTTATTTTTGTAAAAAAAATATTTTTAGTTTCCTTTTAATATCTCTTAAATAAACACTAAATATGTTATTTTACGAAAACTTAGAAAAAAATTATTAAATTCTGTTTATATATAAATATTTCTATCTCATAAATATTTCTTTTTTTTATTTATGCGTTTTCAAAAAGTAAACTTAAATTAAAAAGTTAAGTAAAATCTTATTATGAAAAAATGCATTATTAATATTAATTTTATATAATATTTTTAGTTCATAAAGAGTATCTATGTAATCAACCAGCATGAGAGTTAACGTGAATGCGACACATAGGAAACTGACTTCTCAAATAATATTATAGAGATTTGATCTTCTGGTTTTTGTGGTATCGAAATAAGATGATACTAGATTTTTACCCACTGATTTTCAAAACCGTGGACTAATTTTTATTTGAAAAATTATTTACTGAAAAATAGAAATTTATACATATTATTTTTTGTTAAAAACATACACATATTTAAAATTTATATAAACAGAATTTTATGGAAAAAAAAAATCATTTATATAACCTACCTCAAATTAAATTTTCTTCTATATCAAACTGTCTAAAACCTGGATCAGAGTATGAATATTAGTCAAATCCACAAGAATCCGTGAAACAAAAATTTGCTACAGCTTCTCCTATATCTTTGCCATCTGCAAGAGGAGGATTGGAGACGGTGGCGTGGCTAGAAAACGACTCAGTCTTGCTCTACACGGTATCCTGCAGGAGTAGCATCTATACCTGAGCTAAAACATGAGATGAATTGGTAAAAATCTGAAGATACATCACCAAGCTTCTGTCGGAAAAATGTTTCATACTCCAGAGACAACTTTGACAGAGCTAAGATAAAAGTTTCCAACAATCTATGGAAGCAACTTTTAAAAGGTTACAGACTCGCAAGTAATCTGAGGGAAGTAACTTCCGTGTGGATTTTTAGAGTAAATATAATCATAGAATCTGAAATGGAGTTTCTTTGTTCACCTGTACGGTTATGAGCTTAATATTCGTAGAAGTCTTCAAAAAATCTTTAAAAGGCTGAGAAATAAAAGCTCCTACTAACACATAAACAAAACTACCAGTAAACTACACAACAAGAAACAAAGAACAACAGATTCAATAAAAACCAAGCTTTCACATATAAGTTTGATTCTAACATGTAAAATGTGATGCACACGTATGTACTACTACACTTTGTCCATTTGCAAAAAACAGAATCCAGATACTCAAGGTGGAGACAAATGGCTAGGTAGAAGAGAGAGAGAGAGACTGTAATCCCCCACAGATAAATCTCTCGACTTGTTTCTTGTCCCACATCGGTTACTTGATCCAATATTGTATTATTTATATATTTCTTTAGCCAACAGATGATACGTCGAGCTCAGTAACAAGGGTTTGTGACCCATGTGGGGACAATGAGAGTGTGGAACACTGGCCCGGCCCACCAGTCGGTTCTGTCGTGGCATTTTCTGGACTGTCCTGTCCAAGTCGAGAGTGATCCGTTTGTGTTGGACGAAGGCTTGATTCAGGCTCCTAAAGAGGGGAGGGCAATGCGTGAGGCTGGTTTCACAGAACAGCGATCACCAAGGCCACTCAGGTCCCACCTGAACCACACAATCTTTTTTATTTATTTACACTTTCCTTTCTTGTCAATGGAAATTCCACCAATGTTATCCACCAAAAAAATCACTTAATTATCAAAATTTAAAATCCTCTATATATTATTTCGGAATCATTTAAAAAATTATAACATTAAGTTTGTATTAACTAAAAATAACCTCAATTCTATGTGACATATCTCTTTGCCTTCTAAATTCTATTTAACACAATTCTAGAGCACCTTACATATACCATAGTTTAAACATATATTTACTAGAAAGATGTTGGTCACATATCATAGTAATATTAAAAATTTACTATTCATTCTTTCCTTAAATAAAAGATATGAAATTACCTAATGTAATTAAAAGATATACACTACAAGAAAACGCTTGAGTACCGACCAACAGTTACGACCACGAAATGGTGGTCGTAACTTTACGTCCGTGTTACGACCAGTCAACAACCAAAAAGATATTGGTGGTAAAACCGAAGTAAATTTGGGACCACATAAATTGGTCGTAAAGCAGAAGTGTCGTAACTTCCAATTTACGACCAAAAGAAAATGTGGTCGTAAAGTAGAAGTTTGTCAACTACGGAATTACTACCAAAAAATTTA